ACAATGTGGAATGCTGCAATCTGGATTTGTGTATCACGATGTTAGGCGGTTTTAAGTAAGTTGAGTCGATTAGATCAGTTGCTAACGAAAGGTCGACAGTATTCTGGACTCTGGAGAGAGAGGGATTGTTCCTTCCAAGAGATAAGCGATATATGATGGGTTGAACTTGAACATCGTGCGGTGTTTGTTTGTCCATCTCGCATCTAGGTATTGCAAACAAGCAAATGGGATGGAAGCGATGCAGAGCCCCAAAAATTGAGGGGTGGGAAAAGAAGAAAAGATGTGTTGTAAAGTTGTAACCCTATAATATTTATGATTTATTATGATTTCCATCCCTTCATTCAAGTTCATTGGTGAAAATAAATGGGAAAAGCTCTCTCGATTGCCAAATCTAGCTCACCGAGTAGAACTTATCACGCTTCTTGCTGCAATGTAACGCCGAGTATGCAGTTAAAATATGCACTTCTACTGAAGCGGTTGAATTTTTCGCTTCTCTCGTTGGTTCTTCCAAATGTCCCTATCGCCTGCAGCGCTTTCGTGGGCTTCTCTCGACATATAAAATATATGGAAAATGGGTATTTATACCAAAAATAAATTTATCGCTTCAGGTATGTCTATCTATCTTTCCAGTGGCCCCATCAGCGACCTTTCGATACTTCTTCTATGGAGTGCTCGTCGTATCTAGATACCCTCATACCTTCCTCACTCAGCCTAATGATTTGCCCGTAATCACGTGTTTGGGATTAGCATCATGTAGGTGCCAGGATTCATATCAGAACCATCAGGATAAAAGTACCGATTTTGATTACGCCCCAAGTGAAGTGTTTCGAGAGTTTATATCGAGATGCACTTGTATTGTAGGATAAAATGGAAGGATAAATGTAAATGGCGCCATCTGATCATATCACGTCACATCCAAAAATCAGAAAATATGTCTCTCAATGTCATCATCAGCTATTTCTCGTTTTCGCCCTTCATCACCCTTCACGCTTTCCCCAGATCCGCCCCAATCATCTTACACAAATCAGAAACTGCCCCAAGTGGAGATAAATGCCCCAGATTATCGACCAGGATACTAGGATTCTTGTTGAGCCTCATGCATCTCATTCTTAAGCTTATTGTATGCTTGAAATATCGAGATTGCCTAATAATTTTGTGACAAGCGAGAAGGCTCGACTCTTGGTCCTTGGCCATGGCCCGAACCATTCAGTCCCGAGAGGCGTCTTTGAGTGGGTTCATCTCGGTAAGATTCTTCATCATCATCGCCTTCCTCGATTAGCCGTCTTGTCTCTGCCCTATTGTCTTCTTCTGGCGCTTCGGTATCACCACTCGTTATGCTGTGAATGGGTCGAGACCAGTACGAGCGTCTCCAGAAGGAGGTGGTAAGCAGATTAATGATAGAAACCACCTGTATTTTGAAGTCAGAAAATGCATAATATCTTTTATTAGCCGCAATATGAAATGCCTTTCGTTTTCAGCGAAATGTTACAATATAACCTGTGCATAAATAACTTTTTATGCATGCTGAAAGTTTTCAGAACATTGGTGAAACATGTAGAACTTCTTCGCCCCTCGTAACATAAAAGCACGACTGAAAGATGAGACTATCGTATCTAGCATACACCCAAGGGGTGGATATTTTGATACCGTAGAAAGGAAACGTACCTTGATGGTGAAAATAACGATGGCAACAAGTAGAAGTAGGCCAGCATTTATCTGCTCCGCTTGTCTCCAGGGGCCAAAACAGCTTCTGTGGGAGTAGTTAGATTGATATCTTGAATATGTCATTACAAGATAGTGGAGTGATAAACTCACTGCGAGCGGTCCGTCAAAGCCTCGCAACTCCCGGGACCCTTTTGATTCTTGATCGGCGAGGCCATGTCAGCCATAGAATGAAGACCACAACAATTCAACGCATCTTGAATTGCACTTATCTTTCTATCGTCCTTTGCACTGAATAGACTATGCCATGCATCTTCCAGCCCACAGTGTAATGATTTTGGTGGTATCATATATGTCAGGGCGAGAGTAGCAACAATAGTTTCGTAGACCAACTGGAAACCAATAACAGCAATTAGTGGTAGCGTGAGCTGGTTTTGTTCCTTCTTATTCGCCCGCTGGATCAATCCAACGGCACCTTGTGTAGATATTCCAGTGACGAGGGGTAGGACGACCGTAAATAGTGCGAGAGCTTGGGAGACAGGAAGGGAAAGGGCGCGAATTTGTGAGTATGCATAGCTAGCGAGTATCAGTCTAAGACCATCGACAATTGTATTTTTGGAGCTTTCTACCCAGCTACAGCAGTCAGAATCACCAGAAGCTATATCGGATCAGTTCTGTCTTGAACATTCAGATTAGTCGTGATGGTGCTCACAAGTGGCCTTGCCCATGGTATCAACTTCTTAACAACGTCCATGGCGGATATTGTTGACTATCGAGGAGAAGCAAACACAGAAATTCAGCCGGGAGAATCACAAAAGCTGATCGAGAGTGCGCTCGCACAATGAACTGTAATGGCAAAGCTGGAAAGGCTAGAAAAGCAACGGGATAAGATTGATGTTCGAGTTAAAGGGTTGAGTGATGAGGGAATGCTAGATAGACAAATAAATCGATATATTCTATCGTGCAAGAAAAAGGAAATCCAAATGGAAATGGATATTGAAATCGAAATCGAAATCGAGAACCAAAGAGAACAAAACAAACAAAATGATTACTAGGTACATCAACTGCTTTTGTGTTACCAGAAGATTACTTGATTGTTTTTGTTGATATGTTGATAAGGAGGGGTTAGCAGAGTTGTTTGCATTCGATTGGTATAAATCATATCATACATACCAAGGTATGATTGATTGATTGATTGATTGATTGATTGATTGATTATCCTCCCTCTGCCTCTCCCTTCCCTTCCCTTCCCCTCCCTTCCCCTCTCCCCTCTCCCCTCTCCCCTCTCCCCTCCCCCCTCCTCATCTCTCCTTCCTGCCTCCTTCATCTCTCATAGTAATAAAAGAGGGGAAATCCAAGAATCCCAAAGTTCCAAAGTTCCAAAGTTCCAAAGCTCCAAAGCCAATAATTTGCCCCACCACCACCATCACGACCACCACCACCAAAACCCTAACCACGAAAAGAAGACGCCTTTCTCAATTCTAATGGGTCCACCAGGTCCCTTCCAATAATCAACTGGTGGTATTACTTTGTACTATTGCCATTATCATTACCATCACCATCACCATCACCATCACCATCACCATTACCATTACCATTATCATTCCTATTCCGATTCCGATTGTAAACTTCCGCCCGTGTACCCAAATACTTCAGATGCACGCATGTGCGAGAAGTGTATACATAACCTTCCTTACCTACCAGCCCACCTACATAACATAACAACCTAGGTAATAATCAAGAGTCAACAAGTCAAATTCGTCCACAAAAATAACATCACGTCACATCAAGGAAGAGACCAAAAAAAAATCATCATATTCTCCATCCATTTCTTTGCATAATCAAATAGTCAAACCCTTCACATCACCGTATCGTATCTCGATACCCTTTCAAAAATGGCGCAATCAACTCAATCACCCGTCGCAGGCCACACCTCTCCGAAAAGTCCTACGTCTCCAGGAAGATCTAGCATACCATCTGCCATGCAGGCGATGCCCGATTCCCGTCAACAAAGCTTCGAAGAAATCTACGGACCTCCCGAAAACTTTCTCGAAATAGAAGTATGCTATCCCATTCCCATTCTATGCTATACAAGACCACACCACACCACACCAGCATCCCAACCCCCACCCCTCTCTCCTCCTCCAACTTCCCACCTGCCCCCTCACAAACAAATAAACCACCAACTCACCCCTCCCCTCTAGGTTCGCGATCCCCAAACCCACGGCATCGGCCGCAGCATGTACACCGACTACGAAATCAACTGCAGCACCAACATTCCCGCCTTCAAGCTGCGCAATTCGACCGTCCGCCGCCGCTACAGCGATTTCGAATACTTCCGCGACCTCTTGGAGCGCGAAAGTGCGCGCGTGACCATCCCCCCTCTACCCGGCAAGGTCTTCACCAACAGATTTAGCGACGATGTGATTGAGCATCGCAGAGAGGGCTTGGAGCGATTCTTGCAGATTGTCGTCGGACATCCGCTCTTGCAGACGGGTAGTAAGGTTTTGGCGGGATTTGTACAGGGTGAGTGGCTCTCGTTTTCGTGACACAATTTGCTACTCTATCTCCGAAGCTTCGGATTAGGGAATGGGATCACTTGACAATGAAGGAGCTATGTTAATCTTTGAGTGGCAGATCCAAACTGGGATCGAAATGCTTGGTGAAGTCGTTGGGAGAATTTGGAAGTGAAGACTCAAAATGTTCCACGAAAACTCAAGAAACAACGTCCGTATACCATGGGAAAGACGATATCAATGGTACAAACAATGTCCTAAGCTACAATGCAGGAAACCTGAAATATGATAAGATAGCTTATAAATATGGGAGCATGTTAATTTCATACTCAAAATGGGGTGAGCGAGGGGGGGGGGGGTTAGCCGTAGTTTTATTTCGATTCTCTCACATATACCAAGGGCGTTTAGCTGGTGGGTGGCTGCATTTGACCACTCTGGGGAAATGGTTGCTTGCACATTTAACTGCAAGTTCTGTTATATCAGCTATATCAGAATCAAGCACAATAGAAAATGTCTGACATCATAGACCTGTGTTTATTGCCTCTGCAAGATTGCTCTCGTCTATTTGAGTCTTTGGAGCGGAATGTCCACCCTACTATGGCCAATGTATATATATAGATACAACATGCCAATGATCTATCAACCCACATCCGTTTCCACAAAGCGCCATAGATTTCGTAATGTACATTGCATGTAACCGACCCTGCCTAGAGTGAGATACCATAAGTCCTGATAGTCGTCATGTGCCACTTTTTTGATACAAACGCCATCGTAAAATCCTATTCATGTGTTGTACATCTACCCAGTTCATCCGTACCTTTCTCAAGGTGAAGCTGGCTTTTCCAGTAGCTTCAATATTCCCTCATACATGCCAAACATGATGGCAGCACTCGGCACTGTTCGTAATAGATGCGGCGTTAAGCCTCCATATAAAGCAGCCATTCCCTCCTCTTTCCAGACGAGGTTAAAGCATTGAACGAGTCCTGTATATTTGGGGCGTCCATGATCCAAAGGTGCTTGTCTTAGGCGTGTTCGTAGAACCTACATACATTGTTAGCATATCGTTGAGCAGGAAGTGTAAACTCGAGCTCACCTCATGAGGATAAGTCGCAAGTGCTGCCACAAGTTTTGCAAACCCTGCTGCTCCTAGACTTCCAGTCCATTGTATTGAGTGATCCAAGAAATTCCTGGGTTTCCCACTCAAGGTTATCCTCTCCTCTCTCTTCTCCAAGCTTTTCTTCATCTGTTCATACAAAACCCACTGCAACGTACTTTCCGTAACACCCAAATAACTCGCACTCATTCCCTTATACAGGCCCCGTATTCCCTCTCCCTTTACAACCTGCTTGATACAATCCCAACTGTTCTTGTACTGTCTCTTCCCGACATCCCCTGCTCTCTCGGCCACATTCTTATCCAGTTGCAATCGAGTTTTGATTAACCAGATAGGATTTGTGACCGTACTCGTCGTAATTCCAGCAGCGGCAGCCGCAAGACAAACTACCCAAGCTGATTCCACCCCACCATTATACCCCGCCAATATTCGCTTCCCATTGCCCACGACGAAAAAGTTGATTGACCTCGCAGGAACCACGCCTACAAGATTTGGCCCCAATCCTTTGAAGAGTGCACGATATCCTTCAAGTCTATGTACTGACCCGAGGATCTGAAAAGTTTCACGGAAATGTAAAAGTCCGCTACGTAGTGGCGAGAGATGTGCATGTGGAGAAATCCCCTTGGCCAGACGACTCTGCGCCAGTTGTGCTTGGTAGAAATCGGATTGCAAGCGTGTTTTTAGAACATCGAGAGGTGCTGTGAGAGCTGCGGCTGTCATTCCCCCAACACTATAGTCAGAAATATGTTAGTGTTGGATCTTGAAGCATCGATTGTTAAAATGATGGAGGGGCAAATCTTACCCTCCAGCAACGAAATGCGCCCATGACTTAGCAACTGGGACAGGTTTTGCTGCTACTTTTGATACGTATCCTGATTGTGAAGGTCCTAGATCTCCATTTTCTCTAGATTGTGTCAAATGCAGCTCGTGCAGTGCGCGTTTGCTGCGATCCTCTGTGGTGTTCATGAATGTATCTGTGGAGAGAACTTTCCCAGTTCTCTCTTCTCTCTGGCCTGTGGCGGGGTTTATAATTTTTGGGGGCTGGTTATATTATGTAAATGGTATCATGTTAAACAGAAAATACGATGGTAGCAAATTAAAAGAAATTGACCAAAGTTTGTTTAATTAGAATAAATGATTTGAAGTCCCTATGGTAGAGTTGATAATTCTATGATGTCTTTGGAAATATTTCTCTAAAGGCGGTGGATAGAAAATCGGCATTAAAATCTCGATTAGATAGGCGGGCTGGCTTCGGCTCGGCTGCATGCAATCTAATTGCTAATTGTGCATCCTCACTCGATTAGACGTTTTTTCATTCACGGTTCAGAGATAGGTGAATCAAAATTGAAGCAAAAAAATCCCGAAAGTTGATGTTGAGGAACTATTAGAAGATATTCATACAAAAAGATGCCATACGCCAGTCGTTGAAGATTTAGCCATGCCAGCAGCCCAAATAAGATAAAAGTCCATGTGCCCAATCCGAACCTAGCAACCCCCCTTCCCCCCGTGCGCAGCAACACCCCCTAACAATGCAGCCAAAATTTGTGTTTATCGTGGTTACAGGTCCCTCATTTAATCTTCTTCTTCTTCCTCTTCAAAGTTAGTGACAACTCGAATCGTACTCTCATTGGCATCATCAAACTCGCTGGATCGTCTAGTAGAACGCCTACTTGGTGCTATACTTTTCGTCATACTTTCTCTCCTCGTTTCTTTGCCCTTGAGACTTTTCTCTGGCGAAACGATAGTTAAATTTGTGCTGCTTGAAGAGAGCTTCATCTGCTTCTTTCCATATGTTTTGAGTGAGCCGGCTGTGGCTTGGCTAACGTTGATTGTTTTCTTGCTAGAGCCAACTACATGGCGAGCGTTCGAAAGTTGTGAAGAGACTGTTTTCTTGACTGTTTTTGCAACATTTGTGGTAGCTTTAGATATGGATGATTTGACTCCTGTGGCCGTCTTCGTCTTTCGCTTCTTTTGAACCTGTACGTCTTCGTCGTCTTCGTCATCACCAATCATCTGTTGAAGCTTTCGCTTGCCGGCCTTAAGACCAGCTTTAACAACGTCTTTAATGGTGGTGGCCTTGATGACTTTTTGGTCCTTTGGTCGAGGTCCCAATACACCGCGACAATTGTCACTGCCACAGCGACACGCTTGAACATTTTTGGCCGAAAATGGATCGAAATTGTAGTCATAGGTGAGCTCATCACCAGTCATAATGGGATTATCGCCAGCGAACAGAGCCATTCGCGGCTTGCCCTCCACAATCCACTTCACCATTCTGCAGTTTGGTCTGCAGGAATGGTTAACAAATCTAGCAATGCTACCCCTGGTCGCATCAATGATCATGTTCTGATCAAATGACATTAGGTAATAACACTATTGAATGATAGTTAGCCAACTGAGTTTGTACTGAAAAGTTGAAGGAAGTAATTACATCATTATCTTTATAGTCCTCATTCATACGTCTGTCACATTCGTCTTCAGTGATGATCTCCCCTGTATACTCAACGATAATTTGGTTTGCGTTGAAGCAGCGATTACTTCGAACTCCGTAGCCACGATCAGCTGTTTTGATAACTTCAACGCCAATCTCATACTTGTTGCCACCTTTTCGGAACGAGTTGCCTTTGCGACGGTTAAAGAGTTCAGCGAATGCACGGTTGGTGCAACTGTCTCGTCCTGCGCCACAATTGGTATCATCGCACTCGTAAAGCATGATTCTATTCTGACAATCTTCGTCACACCCTGCATCGGGTTTACAGATACACTTGGAGAAGAAACTATCAAACAAGCTTGACTTCTTCCACATTGAACCAGCTTCTCCAATGAATCGATCTGTTAGAAAAATTAGCAAATATATAAGAGCGATTGAATTCATAAGCTTACTATGAGAAGTCTTGTACCACTCGGTAGGTTTAGGCTGTCCTGGTGGGAGTGGAGCACAAATGTCAAAAGGCAGTTTAAAATCTCTTCCAACGTGTAGTAATCTTTGGCCATTCCACAAGGGTAAGGGCAGGGCTTTGTTTGGCTTCCCAGTCCACTTAAAAGCCGACTTTGTATTTCCAGAAGATTTGAACCAGTCAAGATTGGCCGGATCCTGTCCCGCGTAGAGTCCCTTCGTCAACCAAGCTTTCTCTTTTCTACCTTGCGCTACTTTCTTTGCTGGGGTCTTGGTAGGCTCCGGCTCGGAGACTTGAGATTGGGCCTCCTCTGCCTTCTTCTTCTTCCTTGCCGACTCCTTTTTCACCAGCTTTCCGTTACTCCAGACTTCCAACACGACGGGCTCTGTTTCGATTTTTGCAAACTCCTTCGTGTCTGCGAGGTTTCTGAGCTCCCGCTTTGCCTTCTGAAGACCTCCTTCCATTTCCTTTCGATCCCTCTTTCCTAGTAAGCTAATCTTCTTCGTGGGCCCATCCGCCTTCTCGCCAGGTGTTGATCGTAAAGACTTTCTTCGAGAAAGATCCTCCTTCTTAGCAGCAGTACTTTTAGGGCTTTTGTGATTGATTTTGCTGGCTGACTTAGGCAATTTCTTGACTGACCAAGACAAGTCCAGAGCATCAATTCCCTCACTGACCAATTTTTGTGCATTCTTTCCTACAGTGCCTGCAGACGCACTTACCGGACCCAATGCATCAGCCAATTCGCCGCCTGATATAGTTTTTCGCCGTGCTTCATTATCTGGAGCGCTTTTGTCCTTTAAAAATTTCTTGGGGGTGTGTACGGCTGTGCCGGCAAGAATCTTAGCATTGTAAGTTCCGACCTTTGCGCGTGCTCGCTGACTTCGTCTGTCTGTGTGTTCGGGTGCAATTGATGCCTCGTCGACAATGGGCTCGGGCTTGCCGGTGGCAGAAGTGACACTAACATTGTCTCCAATGCTTGTTGGAGGTGTAGATGTAGAGGAATTTAAGTTTGAGGTGTCGTCGACAGTGATTGAAGTATCGATTGATTCCGATGAAGGGGCACGCGTTATTTCGTGCTTACTAGAAGAGCGAGACGATGCGCCCATTCTATCCAGTAAATTGGAAAACATATTGATCAAATTGTGTCGCGTTATTGTTGTAACATTAATGTATGTTATGGAGAAGACGCGAAAGTTGACGAGTAGGATCCACCAGGCTGTGGCTTGCTCTCTCTGCTCAACAGCGAAAACTGATGAGTAAGAAATGCAAGGTTCTTGGTGATAAAATTATTGACTGAATACTGGAGACATCAAAGAATTATGAGGGTACAATCGCGACGTTGTTGAATATAACGAAGTAAGAGTACGATTTGTGGTGTTGTGGTGGTGGTCAAAAGGTTGTATTGAAGAAGTGGAAGAAGGAGAGAGAGAGAAGAGAGGGGACAAGAGGTATTTTGTGGCTGGGCCTAAATGAAGACCACTCGGAAGTGCCAATTGTATAGGTACAAGGGGCAACATTCCAAAAACAATATAACATAAACTAATCACCTAATGCAAGGGAAGATACTATTATACTAGAGTACCGACTTTATCACCATTACCTAACTTATATTCTAACCGTCTAGAAGTCTTCCTTTCCTTTCAACTGCTTTCAATGCTCCGGTCAAGACCTTTTTAGCTGAATGGTTTCTTTGCTGTGAATGATATGGTAGACAAGTCCGTGTGATATTACATTGGCATACACTTCAACACATATTAAACCATTTTCCCGTGTAGCGTCGCATTGTTAATGTCTGCTGTTTCATTGGATTCCATTGAAGTCAGAGTCAGGGACAGCCACTTTGATGCTAAATCACTAGCCTTTCACAACATCTTAATGAATCTTCATCTACATCAATTAGATCTAGCAATACGAGAATCTATTCTTCACGTTCCATTTGCCATCGTAGTTTTACTAAGTAAATGTCCGAGGACTACTAAGTGTCTAGGTTGAGTCTCTGGTCGGATTAGCGAGGGCTTCCTGATTGTGGTTTGTGAAGGTAGTCAACACTTAACAATTTCAGGAACACCGACTAATTTCGAGAATTTTAAAGTTGACCATTCCATTGATACTTTTTGAGGCTTTATATATATGTAATATGATCTTTCTTTTATTACATCGGTCCAAAAGAAGATTTGTATCACAAAATTACTGTGCAAAGTACTACCCATACAACCATGGATACATTGCATTACCACTACCTGCTCAACTTGGCCACCCGTATGATTCCACGGGCAGTATGAAGGATTGTCGTCTTCCGGAAATGCCATTGCGTGGGTATAATGAGTTTTTGCCGTTGTAAATCATTCAGGAGATCTTGGTAGCACTTCTAACACTCCGGAAAGTGGCCCGACCTCGGGATTGCAAACTTATTCTTGCACCTCTTACTATATCCTAAATCGTCTCAGGATACTTTGTCCAATCTTCCATGAGGTTAAGCCATGGAGATTTCAAACGTTTGCTTGGAGTTTTGAATCTGTGTTATTGAGATTGCTTGGCATGTTGTTTTGCTAGATGTCAATATGAACATTTCAGGGCTTTCGATAATCCAGCTGCAAGTCGACAGCAAGGGTGTTCGGAAGTCACGGGGCCACTCATCCATCTTCAATACTCTATTCAGATCTTTGAAAGAGTGTCCATGCAGTTAGATGTTCTCTTTACCTTTCAAATCTGAACTGCAATCTGAGTCATTGAAAGACTTGAAGTGTCTGAATCGGAATACAAACGCCTACTCTAGGACTAAACTTCCTGCCTAACCCGAAGGGCACTGGAAACTACTATGGCATGACTGTACGAGGAGGAGTTAATGTAGAGCAAAAGGTTTACGTCTGCTGATTAGACGGTCCTATCGGAGCGCGTATCAATGTCCTCCAGAGTGCCACTCGGTGAAGCAATGAGAAAGAAACGTTTTTGGGTCGTAGTAGGCTGGGTCAGTATGGCATCTTAATTGTATTGATATGTGCTTTTTAAGTAAAGCTACTCCTGTCCTTCCTTCTGGACCGATGCATCTGGACGGGTTGGTCTTGATTTATCGAATGTTCTTCTCGTTTGTTGGGGAAAGATCAGGACCAAAATGAAGCTCTACCTTCTCTACAGATGTTGAGTAGTATTTCCGTAGTCAGAGCTGGAATACGACTTTGAGAGACTTTAACTATTCCCAAGTAGAATATTCAATATGGCTCGATCTGTTAAATCGATTTCTAACACTCACTTGCCAATTCCCATTTTCGGATACTCCACCATCGAGAAAGTAGAATATCCTTCAACCTCCACCACCAATGCCCTTATTATAAAGCTCTGATCTCTGAGAGAAATGGCCTCAATTATTATGCTTCGTGCGCTTAATCATAGCCTCTCTACATCCGTTTTCAATTTCCCGCCAGAATACTAAATTGTCCGAGGCTCCTGCTGTCAGTGTACGTCGACCAGAGATCACTTGCGAGAAGTTTCATCTGTCTCGAACATTTACGCCTGTCTTCTCGCAGCTTGCTAGTAGAATTGTTAGGACTATTTTCACACTTTTATATTCCTCTGTGCACAAAACCGGAGGCAGTTTTCCATTATTCCAATCCATCTTTTGCACTGAAAGCCTCATTTCACAGCCCTCCGAGAATTAGCAGACGCATATATATTTGACCATATATCAACACGGTTAGGATTAAAGAGATTTCCCCAATGCAACAGAACAAGTGGTAGCATCATAAACCAAGCTCATAAGGGACATGTAAGGAAATTCGACACGTAGCCATGTAGTCACTCGGTAGGTAACTGTATATCCAGCAGACCGAGTTCATATACGGTATAGATATCACTGGACCTAATTATATGATATAACCTCCACGACTAAAATCTTTTGGGCAACAGTCATGTAGCCAACCTACTAGTGTTGAAGTGTGTTGTAACAATTGTACATTACAGTATGATAGTATTCTGAGCAGCTCACATACGACATTCGGTAGTGAAGACAAAGACGAAGACCTGAAATCCTGATGCTGAGATATCTTACCGATGGCGATGCACATATACCCTTTGCTCTAAAGATAAATTCTTATAAATGAAAGTAGCCGACGGCACAATTGGTATTATAGTCGTCCACTTCGAGATATTCTACGTCGGAAGCTTTACTTTCATAGTTCGATTCGCTCCAAACCTAGCTCAATTCTACCACCCCCTTTTCCCATCAAGTCCTCCTCTTTTCAATAACTTTCTGATCATCCCATGGATACGTACACTGTAACTACCACCTACAGCTCTCAGGGGATTTGAATTCATACATTCACACCATTTCACCCGATCTCCGCATAGCATCTACTCGGACTAGAACGACTTTGAATCTCACAACTGAACACCATTTCATCAGACCGTCGGATCACCAACCTAAACCACATTGTCATTCTCTACCGGCAAGATGTTACATAAAATGAACGGGGAGCTTCATCCTTCAAAATCTTAACAGTGGATTTTATTCACATTTCCCAACCTTCCAGTGCACCATAAAAAATCCATATCATTCATCAAATCATCACAAAAGTCACACTCGACTATTCTTGACGTAACAACTTCTTCTGTAACATCCATAAATCAGCACCATCAAAATTAGCATGTTTTTCTACTGTATCTACGATATTGAAGCTATTCCCAGATCTCCACCTCGTTTCGTTAACAGTGCCATTGACCACAACGCCCAGTATCACAAATGAAGCTCAACACAATCGCGGACCATTATTGCTCAGCCCGCCTACTACCTGCCTCGACCCCCCAGCATCCCTTCACCCTCTCCTCAGCACCTCAAGCATACAGCACACCCCCACACACAAATGTATATCAAGTCCCCTCTCCACACATAGCCCTCCAACCTACCCCCTCTCCCACTATCCAACCCATCCCCAAGCCCCCTCCCAACTCCCAACTCCCAACTCCCAACTCCCAACTCCCAACTCTCGATCTGATCCATCATCCGCTCCTCAAATCCACTCACCACATAAACACCACTCCGTTTCTAGAATCCCCTCCCCCAACCCTCGCCAACCATCCGCTCCTGTTAGATAACTACCCAGTAGCCAACTTACACACCCACACCCACACAAACACAAACATAAATACCTGCTACCACACCCACAACAGCCCAAACCCACATCCATCCACCCTCACCGAAATCCAAATACAAATCCACATCCAAACATCGACAGAACAGCACAGCACAACCCATCCATCACCCCTCAAGCCAGCAAACAAACACACGCACACACGCCAGATTTGAATTTCTTCAATTTCTCCAATATACCTACCGCGCGTAGATAAAAAGCGGATGTATATCCCGTCTCCAACCCAAACTAGGCTAATCCAATCCAATCCAATCCAATCCAATCCAATCCAATCCAGTCCAATCAAAAACACAACAGAGATCCCATTCTCTCCATCTCCCCACTCTCCACTCCCCACTCTCCACTCCCCAAACCCCCATCTCACCCCTCCAAACCCATTCCAAATATTCAAAGATAACCTACCCACCTACCTATCCAAGATCCAAGTAAAACTCTACCTACCTACGTATATCACAACACAACACAAAACATCACATCACAAAACATCACAACACAAAATATCAACTCAAATCTCCCTACAAAGAAACAGATACTAACTCCCCACACATATATATATATATATGCACGCGAGAACCAACCAACCACCTTTCACAATCATCATACGAATCCTCAGTCTAACTTTAACTCTCACCTACCACAACGCCCGGAAGGAAAAGCTGGAGATAGGATCAATTAGCATCATGTCACACGTGAGGAGGAGGTACGATTCGCATGATATCATAAGTAAAGCAAAAAGGAAAAATTTACTCAGCCATTCATGTGCTTTGCTTTACTTGACTTGGTGGAAATACCACTGTGAAGACGGCTCCCACAGATGTGGTTGCAAAGTGGGAAGCACTAGGTAATGACAATACCCAAGTAGAAATGACATGCAACTGCTGACCATTCAGTAGTTGAATAATTATTAATTCATAATTTACATAAAACATACCCCATCCTCAAGCCAGAACACCATGCTCCTATGTTTTGAAATCCTTCCGTTAAGA